AGACCATCCAGCCCCAGGGCAGGGGGTCACCCCCTCCTCGCTGCGCTGAAGTCGGGACCCCCGGGCTGAGCGGTGTCCCCAGCCCCATCTCCCCACGTCGGCCGCCCTGAGTCATGTCAACGCGTCCCCGCTTCCAGCCCGGGCTCTGCAAAGACGTCCTGTCTCAGGTAAACAGGATCTCGCCGCGCTGCAGTGACCTTGTTTACCTCCCCGAAAGAATTTGGCTGGAGTTTTTTTTTTATTTTTTTTTTTTCTTCCTAAGGGCTGGTGAGTCACCCCGCAGCAATGCGCGCTGCCTTTCCACACTGACTCACCCCGCTGCCCCGCTCTCCCGCCTCTCCCTCCTGCCTCCCCTCGGGGCTCCGGGGCAGGCAAGAAGCCCCCTGCTCACCCGGTGATGCAACCCACACACCAGTGGCGGTGGCGGTGGCCATGGCCATGGCCACCGCCACCGCCACTGGTGTGTGGGTTGCATCACCGGGTGAGCAGGGGGCTTCTCGCCTGCCCCGGAGCCCCGAGGGGAGGCAGGAGGGAGAGGCGGGAGAGCGGGGCAGCGGGGTGAGTCAGTGTGGAAAGGCAGCGCGCATTGCTGCGGGGTGACTCACCAGCCCTTAGGAAGAAAAAAAAAAAAAAAGCGGCTTTGCTAGAACAATTACCCAGAAGAAAAGAAAAAAGAAAAAAAAAAAAAAAGAGGCCAATGGACCTGGCCTGGCGCCAGAACCCTTGTTTTCCTTTCCCAACACAATGCACGTTAAATAATACTTCCTTCTCGCAACAAGGCCCTCCTGGGCCAGTTTTTGTTTTTCTCCCCCACTGCACGGGGGTCGGTCAGTGCGGATGGTTCCCGTCACGATGGCAGCATCAGCATTTCAGGGCTGCTGCTCATCCCCGCCGACGTGGATCGCCCGTTCCCAGCACCGCGGAGGAGCGAGGGCCCTGCGTCTGAGCCGCCCGCTGCCCCCCAGCTTTCCTGCGGGGAGCGGGGAGAGCTCCTCAGCGCTTCTCCCTCCCACCAGCGTGACCCAGGTTTAGGCGCTTTGCAGGATAATATCTCCTCAAGGTAAGCTGGGTAGCCATCCCCAGCCACCCCCATGTAGCCATACCCAAGCTATGAAGATATCCATACAAGCTAATCACAGCCATCATATCATATACATCAATTTATAGCCAAGTTAAGTAAAACAGAATAACGAAACAATATACATCACGCGTGGGATGAACGTTTTCATGACATTTCTGGCCAGGCTTCCAGGCTGGGACGAGGGGAACCCCTGTTGCTTGCACCTTGGCTCTTCAGTTCCCATTTGGCTCGCACTCAGCTTTCTTTTCTTCGGGATTTCTCTTCCCAATGACAGTGTCACTGGCACCCAACCGGCTGTATTTAAATGTCCGTGTTGCGGATGAATACAAGTAAAACTGTTTTTGTTTATTCTAACTTCTTTCCTGAGAAATCTAGCATCTGAGACACCACGCCTCTCATTTGTTGGCAGTGTCAATCAACAGTCTTCAAGGGGCTGATCAGATCCATATCTCTCTGTCTGAGGATTATTGACATTTCTGATTAAATAGCAGGTGCAAGAAAGAAAGGAGCTGCCCTTTTAAAAATCAAAACGGGGTCTTTGTACACAAAATGGCATTACTTCAGCTGTACACGTGTCTCCCCAGATTTCTACTTTCTTACATGAGGACCCAGGCTGCTGGGCATGATGGACCCAGTAGCCCTTGGGTGCTCACAGACACGGCACTTCTCTGTTTCCGACAAGGCTCAGCGCTCAGCCAACAGCACACACAGCTGGCCAGCCTTGTCCTGGCACCAGAAAAGAGGGACAGACTCTGCGGTGGTGGAGCAGATGGCAGGTGTAAGCAGGCATTTGACGTACATGTCCACTGACGCCCTAAGTTGAGCGAATTCATTTGTTTCAAGGATTGACTTTGTGCACTGACATTCCAGAGGCAATCTGGAAAAGCCAGATCCAAGGTCCCACCTACCGGCATTGCCTGGGCTCAAACGCCAGGTCCTCTGGGTGAGGGATTCGTGTCCTGGGTAATAATAAATGCCTAGTGAAGGTGACATCTTCTTGGCACTGTTTTGCTCTGTTCTTCTCCCGCCCAGAAGATAAGCCTGTCCCCTGCTCCAGGGTGTATGTGGTCAGTCACATCAGCAGACAGGTAACCTCTTGGTCAACAAAAGACGGTTTCTGGCATTAGCCATGTCAAAGAGGTTTTGGAGATGGATTAGTGGGAGGTCATTAGGAAGGAAACTGGGGCAGAGCTGGGATGCAGCACGCAGCCCCACAGAAGGCTGAATTTTGTACTTCCCCTGTGTTTGTGTGCCCTCCTTGCATACCCAAACCTGTCCACGTGTGGTGGTAACTCTGGTCGCTCACCAGGGCAGAAAGCTCACTTTCTTGGCCAACGGTGGGATTCACCTCGCAGCGGACATCTAAACATTGGCTCTGAAGTCTTAGCCAGCTGTCTCAGCTCCCTCGATAGTCAACAGAGCGAAATGGGCAAGTCCAGAGAGCAACTCAATTCCCTGGCTTAATTTTTTTAAGGTTGGGCTGAATCATGTTGTGGCAGTGCTCAAGGCTCTCCTTTGTCTAGAGAAGGAGACAAGGGCTGCTAGTGTTTGACTGCTTCATTTTCAGTCAGCTCAATTTAAGGTGCTTAATTTTTAGCTGGCAAACACCAAGCACAGTGAATCCCACCTCAGGAGAACAATGTGCCAGTGTATGACAAGCAGCAGCAAGTCCAAGAACACAGCTCCCGTCTTGATTTATTTAACGACTACAGTTAGTGCTAAAATTTGATCATGGGAACTACTGCCTCAGCAAAATCCAGCTTGCTCAACATGCAGAGCATGCCTCGTCCTCAAACAGCGTTGTCAAAGAATATGTCCCTCGGGGACCTTGAAACATGTAGGGAAGAGTTGCTGGGGCTAGCAACCTGCTTCTCAGCGTGGGGTTTTCCCTGGATTTGGCACCGCACTTGTTTTTATCGGCCGCCAAACCTTTGGCAATTCACCAGCGCCTGATAACACAAGTGAAAACCTGGAACAGCCAAACCCAAAGATTTAGCCCAAATTACTCTGCCTATGTGTCCTCACGTCTGGTGGGAGCAACCAGTTTGACCATATTTGCCTCTATGTCCAGGTCAGCCCCTGTGAACAGGTCTCGGTGGTGGAGAGCAGCGTTGCCAGCAGATCTCCCGCCCACCGGTGAGAACTTGGTGGAAACTTTTATCCAGCAAAATGTTTGCTGCTTGGCCTCCTGTGCTAAGGGAGCAGGTGCTGGAGGTTGTTTGGCTAGCTGATTAAACAAATCCCAGTGTTTCCTGCCAGACCAGGTGAAGTCAAGCCTTTTCAGCTGCCTCATCCCTACGAGCCCATCGAGCTGCCTTCAGCAGCTCAGTTACTGCTGAATATTCAGCTTTGAGGCACAGAGAGTCGTTCTGGCCATTGCCCTAATGACAACCACGAGTTCAGCTTTGAAATGGCTCTTGGAAACGCCACACGACTAGGATAAAGAAAGGGGACTATTCACATCAGGATAGCCCAGGTTGTCTCAATATTGCTGTGAATGTGCTCTTCAAACTGTTTTTAATGGACTTCATCACTCAAGCTTGGAGGCCTATGTAGGAAAGTGGTGGGCTTGGCTGGTCCTGGGACACCTCGCATGTGATCCTGTAGAAAGCCGGTAGCAGTGTCATGCCAACTTACCAGGCTGAGGTATTTTCAAGGTGACTATCAGAACGATGGCTTCCCATAGCAACCTGTCACAGGGAATATGTGCTATTTCGACTGTGAAGGTCCACCTCTAGCTCTATTTTCTCCCCAACTTGCACCCCATTTGTGGCTGCTATTCTAACTACAATGGCAAAGTCCAGCAAGATCCTGTTTTGGTTATGGAGGCAGGTACACATCTGGGGTGTGTGATGAAAACCCTGCAAGCTGATCTGCATCACAGAAAGTGGGAAGCAACGGTGGTGACATCAGCCACATCTGAGTAATGAAAAGTCACGTGAATGTTTTTAAAAGGAGACATAAGACACTACCCCATTGATTTGGCATCTCCCAGCTCCCTCTACTCAGGTGTAGACCTCCTGCAGATGATGCCAACCCTATATTGAATGAAAGATTGCTGGTTGAGTGATCCACCAATGTATGACCCGTCACTTCTCTCACCTTGTGTGAGCAGAGGTGTTACTGGAAATACATGTTTACATTCCTCATGCAATATGTGGCCTTACTTAGTGTTTCCACTACCGCTTCTTTTGTACATCCCCCTTTAACAAACTATCCACTCCCAAAACTACTGGACGTGGTCATGCGGAGCTGCAGCAGGCTGCTTTGGGATGAGGCACATCCAAAGTGACAGCTTTATGGTGACGCTAATAACATTGATTGTTTAAATTATTTACATGTTTATCCTACAAAACAGTTCTATTGTTTGGCAACTTTCTTTGCAGGAACTTCTAGGTGTTATGCTGACTAGTGACTCTACACAGTCCTACATCTTTTAGGGGGGTTCTGTTACCCCTTTGACCAAATTGTACCAAGAAGCGTCTTTGCATCGGGTTTTGCAAGTAGACGGTGCTGTATCTGACAATCAGATTTCCTCAGCAACAAATCTAACTACATTGCAACTACAGGTTCTTCCTAAGAAAACTGTCTGAAATGCAGTCTAAGGCTGCATGATTTCAGATGGGAAGCGTAACTGCCTTCTGAGAAAAATGGGAACATACACTCCATTTTAAGCCCATTACAGAAAGGAATTACTTAGAGTCACGCGGACGCAAAGCTAATATCATCCTCTAGATAGTAACTGCCGCATCTAGTACTGCTCAGCAATGTGCAGAAATAGAAGTGGACAGAAATCTACCCAGACAAAAGCCAAGATTATTTTTTTTTTTCCTGGTGTCATTCGAGTCCCAGACGTGGCTGCTGAGCTGTGAACATCCCGTTGGCCTGACCGTGTCCCAGCGCTCCCTCCTCGCCCCTGTTCTCCCAGACACCTGCAGTTGTCTTTGAAGCGGGGACGTGGTGAGCGTTTCCCAGAGACATGTCAGGACGCAGAGGGAAAAGCAGAGAGATGGATTCTATCTGTCAACTCACGATGAAATACAGTGACACCCACCCCCCCAGCCCCAAAAGAAAGCTTATTTTTTTCTAGTTAAAAAAAGTGCTTGGCTCAATCCCTAGACCAGCTGCTTCCTACATAAATAAGAGGCATGCACGGTGTACAGAAAAGAATATTTGACATTCCTAATCAATTAGATAAGGGGAAAAAACAGTACATTTTCCTGTTCAAAATAAAATTATCGTGGTTACTTCAGATTTCAAGGGCATTTATCTTTCAGTTTCAGACAGAGGGGCACTGAGTCGGCTGCAGGTTACTGACCCGCGGCTGGAGAATGACTAAGCTGCCAGCTGGGATGGAGGATCCCAAACCTGGCTCTAGTGGGGCGCTGGGATGGGAATAGCCGTGGCAGTTGCCAGCCAAGTCAGGTGTGCCTTGGTAGAGCCGGGCTTTTGGGAGGACTGAGCCAGGGTTGGAATA